CAAAAACTTTCCACGTTGAACGAAAAATGCGCCCTGCCGCGTACTGCCAAAGCCTCGAACCTTGGGCGAGGCTGAAATTTCATGCGGGATGGTCAGGCTGGACTAGGCCACCCACCATGGCGGGGGGGGCGGGTTGGCCGATAAAGGGATCTGAACCGGATTTGCCAAAAGGAAAAGTGCTTTGGGGTGCCCTGTTACTTGCACTAAGACTGTACCGATATCATTATCAGGATACGAAGGTTGCAGCATTAACCTAGACCCGAAACCCTAAAACCTGTGGCTTACTCATAATCAGGCTTCTGAGTGAGGTGGGAGGCTTCAGGTATCTCCCTGTCAATCCTCAACGCAAACACGGAAAAGGGTTTAGGGTCTAGGGTTCAGGGTTTAGGGTTTAGGGGTTTAGGGTCAATCCTCAGCCTAGGCCGGGCCCCGCACTCAAGATCCCCACATGCCAAAATCCTTAAACAGGATCCCTGCATGCTAGGCCATACTATAAACCTCTGAAGGCCATGACCCTAAAAATGCATCCCTCAATGCACGATTCCTAAACTCTGAGCTCCAAAATTTCATGTTTTAGTTCTTTATCATACAACCCCTATATAACCCCCCATATAACCCTTGTATAACGCGCTATGTAAACCCTATAACCCTTTTATGAGAAGATCAAACCTTGACATACAACGAAGGAATCTGCGATTCCACGTCGAGGAGGAGGGCAAGGGCGTCGACCCGGAGGTACGGCACCCAACCGTGGGTGATTAGGGTTTGGGTTTAGGGTTTAGGCTTTGTAAAAGAAATGTGGAATTGGACTTAATGTAGGGTGCGCCTTTGTCTAGGGCTTGTGGCTTAAGGCGTATGCGTACGGGCTAATTAAGATGTGGTGACGGAGCTGGCTTAGCAAGGTTGATCTTTAAAAGTTCTATGTGCTTGTGATGGCCTCTGAAAGCCCCGCATCTAACAGGCCCAAAAGGGGGGTGTCTACGGGCGGTAGTGGGGAAACCCGAAATCCTGGAGGCTCTGATTTCAGCATGCCTAAACCCTTACCTGAACCCCAGAAGCATGTGGAATCAGGGTTTTGGGCTACTCTTTTACCTGCTCTTGAGGTCCAGGTAACCCTACTTAACGTTAAACCCCAAACCCTAAACCCTAAAGTAGTGCAGGCCTGCTTGGTTAGCGGACCTCCAGAAGCAACAGTCCAGCATTTCGCTGATTCCTTATATTTTGAGGTAGAATCTAAACTCCAAAGGGGGGTTCTATAGGGGATTATTTCGGGAGTAGTATAGGGGCCATGAAGGGGTATACTAGGAGTTTAGACTATAGCTCATCTCGGGCTTGTTTAGGGTTGTAAGAGGATATGTGAGCGATAGTCCGAACTCCTCAAAGGGGGTCATATAGGGCTAGGGTCCAGTGTTTAGAGTCTAAACTCCTTGTTATTGGCAACCCCAACCCCAATGAAGAGGACCCGCCTCTGTATAGAACACTGTCCTTTTTAAAGGCGTGCTCTGTCAAGCTTCATGTTAGTTTTAGGGCCTGGGTTTAGGGTTTGGGGTTTAGGGTTTAGGGTAGCGGAAGGACGACACAAGACGCAACAAAAAATGCCCAAGCTCTGCACTGTAGGGCTCAACCGGGGGCGTTGACCTACTGCAAAACAACCTAAAGGGTGAAAGTTCCCAAAATAAGAGGGTTTGGGGTCACCAATACTATGTTCTCAAGGGTGTGGGGGACCCAAAACTCTACTGTAAACCCCAAACCCTAAAACCAATGATTTAGGCATTTTGGACCCTCAGGAAAAGTATTGATCTAGGAGTGAGTTGTTAACTTGGTACTGCGGTTTAGACAAGCCCGAAAATTGATTAGCATCATAAGGGGAAAACATGTAAGCCACTTCGCTATCCGCAACTGTGGTCGACTGTTGTGCGGACGGTTTTGGTCTAGGGTGTAGGTATCAGGATGGTTTTGGTCTAGGGTGTAGGTATCAGGATTTGGGGGACTAGTGTGCTTTCTGGGCAACTTGAGATTCCCTAAATCCTAAACCCTAATCCATTAAAACCCTAAACCCTAAATCCTAAACCCTAAACCCTAAATCCTAAACCCTAAACCCTAAATCAAAAAAAACCTAGACCCTAAACCCTAATCCCTTAACCCTATGTTCCCTAATTAAGGGGTACTGGGCTGTCACGGCAACTTCAGGGTCCCTAAACCCTAATCCCTAAGTCACAAACCCTAATCCCTAAATCATTATCCCTACCTAAATCATAAACCCTAAACCCTAAATCATAATCCCTAATCCCTAATCCCTAAACCCTATATTCCCTAAAGATACGGTACTGGGCTTTCTGGGCAACTTGAGAAGAAATCCCGAGCTCCACTTGTCGACTGACTTTGGACAAGCCCTGGGCTGCCCGAGCCCCATGGTCCCCGGCGTCCAGCATCTAGATGTTAGGGTGCCTTTGTGAGGGGTTTCCCAAAATTAGAGTATTTTGGTGTCTACCTTTTTGGGGGTCCTAATGCTAAGGACTATAGTATTTTGGGCCCTATACTGGGTTTTCTCTCATTTTGGGAAACTACCATTTCGATCAGCTTGTATAGTCCCTACAAAGCCTTAGACCCCCAAGCCCTAGACCTACAGTAGACTGATCCTGAGCCCTTCTTCCACAATCCCCTAAAGCCCATATATAATCCCAGCTTGCGTTTCATTCTCCATTGTCTTTTCCATTTTGTTCCCGAATTGTGCTTGGCAACGCTGTACACAGCCTAGACCCCCCAAGTACCCTCTATAGACCCTAAGTATCCCCCAATAGAAGATACATAGACCCTATTTTAGGGTACTTGGGGTCTAGGAGGTTCCCATAGGTTCCCTAAACCTTCAACGGATGCAGGGCAACAAGATCAAGGCTGACAAGGAGAAGGTTGCTGCCTTCCGTGCCAGCATCAGGAGGGTCAGCGGGTTTAAATGGTTTAGGGTTTCAGGGTCCAGGGTGGATGGAGAAAATCTCAGGGTTTACGCAAGCTTAGGGTTAAGGGCCTAAAGAATTACCGATACTGGAGAATACATGAAAAAGAACCTGGAAAGTGAGATGCAAATTGGGGTTATGGGGAGGTTTGGAGGTAAGATTACCGGCATCAGTACCAATATAACAGATTCGCAGGCCTTGGCTCTCTTATCTTTCTCGGGCCAGCCATATTTTGCATCTATACCTTGAAGTCGTAGAGGAGAAGACCAAAAGGCAGGACATCTGGGGTCCAAGTAGGGTGGGGTAACCCTTAACCCTAAACCCTTAACACTTTAAACCCTGCGGCCATGAACCCAATCCTAGAGCCCACAAACCCCAACCCTAAGCACAAGACTCGAACTTCCAAACCTAATCCTGAAGGTTCAGGCTTCATGGGTTTAGGGTTGAGGGGTTAAAGGGTTTAGGGTTTTGGGGATAGGGTCCAGGGTTTAGGGTATCACCGTTAAATTCCTGACCATAAGGTCTGGGTCACTGTTGGATTTTTTGTGGTTACGAACAACAAGGAAAATGCATTCATGCCTCTGTAGAATATCCCAATAAGGAAGCAGAAATCCAAAGCTGTCAATAAGTTGGCGGACATCTACTCGCATATCCCCTGTATCCCTTTCAGGGAACCCTAAACCTGAAAGCCTAAACCTTAAATGGGTGGGTGTCAAAATTATGGTCCCTTTTTGGGGTCCCTATTATAATACGGCCCCTAATATTTAGGGTACCCAAAAAGGGACCATAATTTTGACAACCACCCAAATCCTGCCTACAAGCTGCAGGAAGTTGGCAGACATCTACTGCAACGATGCCTTCGGCACTGCCCACCGCGCCCATAGCTCCATGGTGGGAGACTGGTCCAAATTAGAGTTAGGGTTTAGGGTTTAGGGTTTAGGGTTGAGTTTAGGGCTTTGGGGTTCACAGTCGGATTCCCAAAAAACCCAGCACCCTTGAATTGAGGAATATGAAGGGATCTCAGTATCACTGAAGGTATATACCTTCAACCCTAAACCCAGTAATACTCCTTTAGTACTGGTGGAGCTTTGGTTATATAGAAATCAGATTTTTTTGAGTTAGGGAGTTGTGTTCCCCAAGCCCGCCCCAAAAGAAACAAGCCCGGCAAAGACTTCTTTCTTTCCTTCGAAAAGGTGACTGTACGGGCTTACATGTTTGTGTGGCAAAGCACAACCCAAAACCCTAAATCCCAATACCCTAATTCCTAAATCCAATCCTGAACCCAGCACCCTTAATCCTAAACCCAACGCCGTAAATCCTAAACCCTGAGCCTTAGACAAGGAGGTTCCGCTTTCAGGATACCTAAGTTTATGTCTAGTATCTTGTGTCTATAAGAATCGGTACTATAACCCCAGTTCCAATTTCAGTGTCCATGTCCATTTATGAACCCAAATAGAACCCCAGACCTTTTAAGGGCCATATTAGGTACCCTGAACCCTAAACCTAATAGAGCTCTGGCAAGGGTTCTGAGCTTCGAGGGGAAAGCTCTGGTTCTAGCCAGGACGTAGGGTTCAGCATTTGGAGTTTCTCTTGAAGAGTTTAGGGCTTCAGGTTGAGGATTCAGGGTTGAGGAAAAGAGGGTTTCCCGAAATTAAGGGTACCATCTTGGGGGTCCCAATATTACGGACTCTAGTAGACTGGGGTACAAGGGAGGACCCTAATTTTGGGAAACTACCATATAGGTTGGGTTGGGCCCCCACCACTAATAGTGGTATACTAGAATATATAAAGACCTTAATATAATCACCATTACCTCTTGTGGTCACTATTAGTGGGTGCCTAAACCCCAAAAGTGTGTAGAATAATAGCCCTAAACCCATAATAATAGCCATTAAGGCCATTATTTTACATACTTTTGGGGCCCAGGTAGCCCTGACACCCACGGCGCAAACCCAGTGGCAAGCACTGGCACTCAGAGGGCAAGACCCAGGGCGCAAGGAGACAGGCGGCAGCACAGCGAATTTGGCGGGGGAGCTGTGTGACGTGCGCTAATCACCACGCCTTCGCTTTTCTCAGGCGTGACAAGGGGCTCATCGCCTTGGCTGAGTCACAGAAGGTATATCTTGCATCGGGCGAGGCGTTGCCCGTTCGAAAGGCCCCCAGACTTGGACGCGGTACTACCGTGGAAGGGCGGAAGGGAACCAGTGGGTCTTCCTCCACACCGCGGTAGCGGCCAACGAGGGTGCCTTTGGTGCGTTTAGGGTCTAGGGTTTTAGGGTTTAGGGTTTAGGTTTCAGGGTTTAGGATGTAGGTTTTAGGGTGTAGGTTTTAAGGTTTAGGGTTCAGGGTTTAGGGTTCAGGGTTTAGGGTTCAGGGTTTAGGGTGTAGGTTTTAGAGTTTAGGGTCACGGAACTGGCGCATGACCATCCGACGTGTTGCTGCTGTAGGGCTTGGAGAAATACTGGACTTATAAATAGGACTCCTTACACAATTCTAGTACGGGGTACCTCAAACAGACCTCAAATTGATATGGGCAATTATACCTCCAAAAGCTGCAGAAAATATCTTGTGTAAGACGAAACCTACAACTTAAACTCCATTCCCTGCCAACTCTTAGCATCAAAAACCTTAACCCAGTTTCCATGTCATGCCTGGGTAGGCCCCTGGGATATTTCATATTTTCCCTAATGGCTTTAAACTTTAATAAGGGACCCTATATACTAATATTGTTCGAAGGGTTTTTGGGGCCAACCCAGTGCCCCATGTTTCTCCACTACCAAGGTGGCCTCCTTATATTGGGGTTTCCCAAAATTAGGGGTACCTTGAAAAGGGGATATAGGGGTTATATAGTGGTTATATAGGGTTTAGGGTTTCCCTACGTTAGGGGTAGCCTTTTGGGGGGTCCCCATAATAAGGACTATAGCATTTTGGGGTCTATATTGGGGTCCCCCTATTTTGGGAAACTGCTATATACCTCCATGTGGCTCCTAAGCCCTGTTATAACCGTAAGCCGTAATTCCCAAGCCCTTATAGTCCCCCTTAACTAGATAGAATGCTTTGGGTATATTGTAATAAGATCCCCATATACCCCTTTTTCTATTTACTTAAGCGGGACTAAAACCTCAATCCCTAAACCTATAATCCCTGCAAGCTTAGGCGAGGGTTTCGATGTGAAGTGCGCTGGCGACCTCATGGGCAAGGAGCCTCCAACCTCTTCCTGGATTGCTGGCTTGCTGTGAAGGAACCTAAATTAATTTACTAGAATATGTTTACTTGAAGCCAAAAAAATAGCGGCTTCTTCGCTTTTGGGCTATATATATATATATGTATATATATGTATATATATATATATATGGGGGTTTGGGGCTATTGTTTTACCTACTTCCGGGGTCCAGGTAGGATATGATAAGCCAACCCTACTACTCAATAACATACATACATACATACATACATACATACATACATACATATGTATGTATGTATGTCCATATAATGGCAACTTAAGGAAAGGTCTTCAACAGCAACCCAATTTGAATAATTAGCAGCGGGGCAGCTATACCTCACACTTCATGAGATCGTAGAACCTTATTGCAATATAGCAATTTCCATGAATGGAGGGGGCCCCAACGTAGGTTCCCAAATATTCAAATCCTGAACATAGAGAACCCCGCCGAAAGAGACATCTGACTTCCAGAAACCTTATACAAAAGCATCTGAGTTATTGTCAAAATTAGGGTTACCACGGGACCATCAAGGGTAGACATGGGGGTCCCTCTTGTAGTTGAGTATAGTCCCGCATATATGGGGGTTTCCCAGAATTAGGGGTACCTTCTTGGGAGCCCTTATAATAGGGGTTATAGTCTCTTGGGGTCTATATTGGGTCCCCTTGTTTTTGAAACTACCATATTCCCTGACAAGGAACCCATGTCCATCAATTTACTGAGGAAAAATTGGCAGAGGGGTTGCTGGGTTTGGAGCAACTTCGAAGCTAGGAATGAGTCTCCAAAAGAGGGTTTAGAGGCTTAGGGGTTTAGGGTTTTACGGGTTTAGGGTGTTTGAGTTTCAAGGCTTTAGGGGTTTTAGGGGGTTATAGGGGAAGTTGCAGGTTTGTAGGGTTTAGGGTGTACGGTTCTGAAAGCTCATGGGTTTCCCTACAACCCCTCTATACTACCACCCCACCCCCCCCCCCCGGGCCAGGCTCCCCCTTTAGATGTGCTTTATCGTCACTAAATAGCCTTGATTATGGGGGGAACCTGGGGGGTGTAGTATAGAGGGGAGTAGTAGGGAAACCTATGACTTTATATGCACTGGGATTGTCAGGAGAGTCTGAAATCCCCCTGAAATTAAGAACCTTAGTTTAAAGCACCTCTGATTATTATATGAAAGGTAGGGACTATATAGGGGATGATTATAGGGGTTATTAAGGGGGATACTAGGAGTTTAGACTATAGCTCATAGGGGGTTTCCGCAAAATGAAGTGTCCCTGGTTTTTGTTCCCCGTATAGGTTGCAGTCTTCTGGTGTTTATGTTGGGTCCCCTTATTTGGGAGACTACCATATATGTCTGGATATATTCTAGACGGAGACATGTGCATGCTTCGTTTCTTAGCATGTCTCTGCTTGGTCTGTGATAGAAAGATTTGAGATTACGGTGCGACTTGTTTAAAACGGCGGCTCTTGATCTGGGGGTTTCCCAAAATTAGGGGTACCCTTTTTGGGAGTTCCAATAATAAGGATATATTATAGTATTTTGGGTCTATATTGGGATTCCCCTATTTAGGGAAACTACCATCTGGGAATGTCTCGAGATTGTGGCTTTGGATCTAGAAATGTCTCGAGATTATCCCTATAATTTCTACATAACCTCATATCTCTAGGGCCTGGAGACCTCCTTTGAATTGATGGTTGTGCTCAACCGGCCTTATATACAGGCCCCTGGTTTCAAGAGATACCCTGATCTCTGGACAACTTCTTGGCAACCCTAAGCCCTTAATCATGAGATTCCAGGGCGACAGGCCCTAAATGCGCAGTCCATACCTCGGGCTATAGGGACTGAATTACCCGTAACTAAGCCCTACAAGCCAAACGCAATCCCTGAAACCCCAAAATCCTAAACCCTAAACCCCAAATCCCCTACATCCCTTAAACCCTCACGTCCCCAGAAGCCCAAACCCATGCGCAGAGGAGCTGGAGGCCTTCGCAAAGGCCACCCAGACATGTTGCGCGCAAAGGTTGAGGATTTAGGGTTTGGTTGGGGAGATTTAGGGTTTTCAGTAAGGTTTGGGGTTTAGAGTTTAGGCTTAGGGTCCAACTTGAAACCCCAAAGTTCGTAGAATCTGACCTTAACATACCAAGGGACCCCAAAATGGTACCCTGATTGTGGGAAACCTCCGTTGTGAGGTATGCCTCTATGCCTTGTAGTCCTAAACCTCATAATTCCTAAGCCCGGAACCCTAAACCCTAAACCATGAAACCTATCCCCCGAAGCCTACACCCTGAACCCTATACCCTATAAACCCTACCTGGAAAAATAGCCCAAAAAGCAATTATTCTACATATTTTTGGTGCTCAAGTATACCCTAAACCCTATAGCCTAAAACCTACTGCGCACATGGAGTCAAAGGTTAACCCCGGAACCTTCAGACCCTAACGACAATGATACGAACCCTGCAAAGTTTAGGGTTGGGCTTTTTCAGGTTAGAGTTTAGGGTTTAAGGATTTAGGGTGTATACTGTTCCGTCCACAAGTACCTCCAAGAGCCTAAGCCTAAGGCCTAAACCCTAAACCCAAACCTTTAAACTGTGTTGAAGGTCCTCGACAATCCTGCCAAGCCCGTCCTTGCCATCCTGGGTGGTGCCAAGGCACATAGAATGCAAACATAGGGAAACTATTGGGATTGTATTCCCTTACTATACGGGAAGATATTGGGGTTATATGGGGATAATGGAAAAGAAAATGGAAACCCAATATTATTAGAGGGTATGTATTGGGGTTTGAAAGTGTTTGAAGGCGTGCCCTCAAGGTCCAAGTGCTCAAGCATATTCTATCTTCTTAAGGGGACGATACCAGTAATTAGGGTTATCCCAGCTCTATGGGAGTCTCTGAAACTGATCCTATGTGACCCCTACAGGGGGCCAGTTACAGCCCAATGTAAACCCTATACGGGGGTTTCCCAAAATTAGGGGTAACTTTTTGGGGGTCACTATCGGGGGACTAGAGGGGTCTCTGCTACCCTTAGGGTCCAAGTACCCTCATACTCCTTTCCTTGCGCAATGCCTGTACTAGAATCTGTACTAACCCACATCCCAAGTACTTACTTATCCGGTGCTTGGACCCTGTTAGTGTCAAATTTGGCAGCCTCCCATGAATCGCCTTGCGCCTCCGGGCTACGATGTAGCACTAAGGACCCAAGAATCTAAGGAATACCCGAGGGCTCCAAATCCCAATGTAGCTACCACATACAGACTTTGTAAGCATGGTCATAGGTCCCATAAGCTATAGCTACCAGAGTTATAAGTACGGTAATGTAACTAGGAGGCACACCTTTCATGGTGCAGGGTTCAGGGTTTTGGGCGGCACCGAGGTATGTAGAATTTGAAGGGCGTCTTAGCTTATGAGTGGGACATGTAGGAATGAGAGAACCGGAAGTGACTGTATTATGCAGGGTTTTGGGTTTTGGGTAGTGGTGGTTAGAAGAGACTCAAGGAAAGGAATACAGAGATCATTTCTTGGCGCACTGAAAGAAAGAGCTTACGTAGGTGTATACCTAGACCCTCCTCCTACCCTCTATTAGGGCCTAAGTACCCACTATTAGGGACCATATATCCCCAATTCAGGGTACAAGGAAGGTCCTGGTACGTGGCTTTTTGGAGGCGTTGCCGTGGATGAATCTTAGTGGGGCAGGGTGTCAAAGGCTCGTGGGGATGCGTGGGTTCGGGAAAACCTGCACAGAATTCCCCATGGACCCTTTGGATTCAAGAAGGTCTTTATCCGAAACCCGAAGGTGCCTGTCATGACATGATGCTCACGTTGGGGTGTGTATAGGGTGCGGACTTTCTTGTGCTCACGTTTGTAACATCACATTGGCGCGCTTCAGCAGGACCCCTAGACCCTAAACCCTTTATAGTTTGTGTAGGGCCTACACTCTAGGTCTTTTTTTGGTGTTCCCTGGATGGACGTTCCTCCCTAAGTGTGACTCAGGAATGGGGGCCTATCTGCACAAGAAAGTACCATGGAGCTGTAGTCTAAACTCCTTAAAGGGGGGTCATATAGGGAATTATATAGGGCTTAAGGTTTAGGATTGAGGGTTTAGGGTTTCCCCGACGTGTTTGGCAAGAAATACACGTAGTCTCGGTTAATGACACTCTGACGGCACAAAGGTCGGTGTTTTTGTTGGGAGGCACCCGGTTCCCAGAAAGCCAAATATCTTTTTACTAGGGAGTATGCCTGCTTTCATGTTCAAATTTGGGAAGTAAAGCTCTCAATTCCGGGTTTAGGGTTCAGGGTTGGGCTTGGGAAGTAGGGTTTAGGGTTTGGGATCAGCTGAACGAGGTCAGCGACAAGATCCAGCTGATCATGAACATGCTGGACAAGGTGCAGAAAGCAGTTTGGGTTTGCTGTTGCTTTTGCCGCTATTATCTAGGAATGCCGCCACCCTAAACCCCAAAGGCTCATAAACTTTCATTTGAGCAAGGCACTTACCCTTAAACTTACACCCAAGGTTTTAGGGCTCAGGATTCCAAGCCTACTAGCTACATTCCAACACGAGGGGTTACAAGCAGACTTGGGAGCCCCCTGCCCCCCCCCCCCCCGAAATACTAGTTGATGTTTAAAAGCCGTTGCCTCAAAGATCTGCAAAACCCATCCCCCAAACCCTTAGCCCTAGAGCCCTAGACACCTAAACCCCTAAACTGTTTGACCCCTGAACACTACCTGGATACCCACAAGTATGCAGAGTCGTGGCTTTTTGTGTGTTTACAGGGGGGTTTTGGGCCATTGTTTACCTACTTCGGGGGGTCTAGGTAAGATGCTCCATGTATGCCTAAACCCTAGACCCTACTTAGGGCCTCCAAGCCCTCAAGATTTGGAGCTTAGGATTTCTAAAGCTGGGGCGTGCTGGGATTTCCGAGCAACCTGACCTCCATCCCTCGACAACGCCAAAGTTGATGAACCTAAGTGTACGGATCGGTTCAGGGTTTAGAAGGTTTAGGGTTGAGGTTTTAGGGTGTAGGGTCTAGGGTTTAGCGTTTAGGGTCTAGGGTTTGTACTCCTCGAGCTTTCAGCTGCACGCAATAAAGCGCAGCAAGTCAGGACCTCCTTTGCTCATATGTGAGCTCTTCCTACATCTGGGAGGACCCTACACTGTTCTAAGTGTCAGTCCTGTATAGTAAAGCTATAGTTTAAGCTCCTGGAAGGGCTTTCTAAGGGGGTTATATAGTGGATTGCTATAGGGATTATTAAGGGGGATACTAGGGGCTTGGACTATAGCTCCTGTAGGGATGTCTGGTGGGAGGGCCATGGTGGAAGCTAGTGGCCCCTGCCCCCTTCCCTCTCCCTTCCCTTCCCCCATCCAACCTCTGTTTTGATGATAACAGGAGAGGACTGACGCAAAGCAATGTGAGAAATCTATCACGAATTTGCAAAGAAGTCAAAACAAGGTATACAAAATGAAGAGACTGAGAGACGGAACTGCTGCACAAGGAACGAAGCGGACGAAGACCCTCTTACGTACGTGACCTCATTGTTCAAGTTCGGCAATGGAGGTGTGTTGCCGTCAAGTGTGCGATGGAGATTGCCTGCCGTGATTGCGATAAATTGGTGTGCATTTGGGTGTCTTCGGTTCCTGTGGATTGTCTTGGTCTTCTCCTTGGATGTGATGTTCTGGCTGGCCTGGGTGGTGTTCTTGACTTTGGAGAGCGAACGCTGACATGTAAAGTCTTTGGCTCCAAGACCGAACCCCACCAACTTGTGGTGTGGTGAGAACCATGGCTGGCGGAGGGTACCGAGGGGGAGGATGGGGCGCAGCATGGGAAGCCTCATGGCCCTCTTAAGCCTTGACCCCCATCCATAAGAACGAGTTGTTGATCATTGGACAAGGCTTGCCCGGGAACATCATGTACAATTTTGGCTTCTCGGTGTCAGCCAGACTCACCCTCAAAGGCTCCATGTAGCTATGTAGCTTATACTTAGGACCCAAAGGGCTTCCTATATTATAACTACTTTAGGGCCCAAGTATATACCATACATTGGGTCATTCCCCCTCCCAGTAACTGTCCTTAAAGGGGCCTTATTAAGGGGGTTCTTATAACTCCTATAACCCATTGTGGTAACAGTTACTGTAAGGCGGAATGACCCCAACCATACAGCTACATGGAGCCTTTGGGACCATGCAAAGCATCACCAAATACGCAATAGCCAGCCTGAAAGGCAGAATTTTTCTTCGGCCCATCCATCCAAGAGCTGCAGTGGACAAATCGGGGTTTAGGGTTCGGGGAATATAGGGTTAGGGGTTTAGGGGATACATGGTTTAGGTCTTAGGGTTTGGGGTTTAGGGTTGGGGCTACTGTAGGGAACCATTCCTTACTTCCCTACTGAGAACCCGTAAGTCTGCGGTCCCCAGTACTCCCCACAGTAAGCCCCAAAGCCCATGAACCGAGTAGAAAACCTTTCAAGCCAGGTGAACAAGATGATCATCGGCGGTGGCATGGCCTACACTTTCCTCAAGATCAAGGACAGCATGGCCATCGGAACCTCCCTCTACGATGAGGAAGGCATGGCCGGTGCAAGGGCTGAGGGGTTTGGGTTGCAGGAGTTGGAGTGGGGAATGGAGAGTTGAGTAGTATTTTATTTGGGGATACTGTGGTACCCAATATAGAGTAAGATTATATCCTCCTTTTGGGGTATAGTATTGAATACAAGGAATATTATCTTACTATGTTCGACCACCAAAAAAATGACTACTCAGTTTGGCTTAGGATTCAAGAGCGGCCTGGATTTCAGGCTAGAACACCCAGGCATTGATTCGGAAGTCAATTTTTGGAAATATTGGGGCTTCATGGAGGAGATCTTGTAGGCCTATGGAACCCCAAGCCCTAACATCTAAGAAGCCGATTCTAGCGCCAAACCCCCAAAGCCTTAGCAGCACAAGTACCCAAATGCATAGAATACCAAAAATACTAGAACCTAAAACCTAAACCCTAAATACTAAAACCTCAGTAGTTTTGTTGACTCAGACCTCCAACATGTGAGTACTTGGACCCTCAGGAAATCCCATTTTTCAAAAGGGGCTCGGAACCTCATATGAACTGTAATCTTGGGCCCCGAGTATGGTCCCTTGATCCCAAGGTTCCTGCCTACCTAGCAGGGTTTAGGGTTGAGAGGCCTCAGAGTTATCCTGGAGGGCCCCGAGAGAAAAGCTGAGGACCCATATTATTGCCCATACCATCCTTATAAGGCCTAAACCCTAAACCCTAAATGGAAGTTTCCCTTGTCCCAATATAACCTAGTTTCAATCGTACAGAAAGCTTTACCGCCAGGCGCCAAGATTGTGCCCGAGATCCTCGAGAAGGCGGCTAAGCTTGGCAACTTGGCCTTTTTGGTTTTGGTAGGGTTTAGAGTTTAGGGTTTAGGGGTGGCTATGTGAGGTATAGTCTAAACTCCTTAAAGAGGATTATATCGGGTTTCGGGCTTAGAGTCTAAACTCCTTAAAGTAGGGGGCTGTACAGGGGACAATTTAGGGGACTACGAAATGGTTTTATTTAAGGGGGATATTAGGAGCTTAGACAATAGTTCACTTGACCCTTAGATGCAGCTAGAGGGTTCTAGGCAATTCTAGGGATGTACAAAAGGTTACGGGTATGGATTTTTAAGGATTAGGGTTTCTGGGCTTGGGGTTCAGGGTTGAGGGTCAGGGGCGTAGGGTTTGGGGTCTAGGGTTGCGATTATGTGTTCACTGTTTCGGGCCAAGGTTTTACGTGCTTAGGCTGAAGGTACAGAATTCAGGGGCGCCAGGCTTACCTGTAATCCCAAACTACCTACAGTTTGATGGGCTTCGCCTACTCAACCGCAGCAACATACATTGTCGAGGGCTCCAGTCTCGGGGTGCAGCGGTGCGCGGCGGGTTTTTGTCGCCCTGTGTAAATGCCCCTTCATACTTGGAGGGTCATGGGGACTTAGTAAATAGGTTACAAAGGCCTACAACCCATATAGTAACCACGGGTCTATAGATTGATGTCCGGGCTTTTGGACTTAAACCCTAAACCCAAAGCCCTAAACCCTAAACCGCTCAGGCCTCAGGGCTCAATCAGTACGGGGTATGGGGAACTCGTCTTAAGGTTCAGGATTGTTACAGGGTTGAGGGTTAGGGTCTAGAAGCTTGCAGGCATTTTCCTCAGAAGAGCACCCTTTTGTGTGTGGGCTTGTCTTTGGGTGCAAGTAGCAGGGGCCAGTAATCCGGCGAAACTCCCATGTGACTGCCTCAAGCAAGTACAAAAAACCATCATTAGTGTCAAACCCTATGATCTTTGATGGAATACTGTTGATGGAGGAAAGCCCGCACCACCTCAAGCCCCTAAAGTCGTAGGAATTACAGTGGTTTGGCTTCTGGTGGCGCAAGAATCCCCAGGGCCCCATAAACCCTAAACTCTAAACTCGGGCTAGACCGTCCGCATGCCATCCACAGGTATGAGCCTCCCAGGCACTTAGGGTTCAACCCATAACTTATTAGTGCTGAAGGGAGAGGGAGGGAGTGAATATAGGGACTAGTGCGGTATGTATGGGAAAAATATGGATTACCGTAAGGAACCACTCCCCGGGTCTCCCTTAAGCCTTACACGCCAGTAAGATAAGGGCTTTCAGGCCAGTTGAGGACCGTACTGTAGTCTACTCAGGAAGTATTTTCATTTCTATCATAGTATAGCCCAAAGGGAGTCTTACACCTAGTTCTAGGTCTAGAGGGATTAATGATAAAGGCCCGCTCTCCCAAAAGCCTAAACCCTAAATCCTGACCCAAAAGCCTACACCCGAAAGTCTGGCGACTTTCCGGCCTCAGAACTTCCAAGGCCCCACAGGAATCACTAAAGGCCTCGGCTTCAGGCACCACCACCAGCAACAACAACAACAACAGCAGCAACAACAATAAGCACAACAACGAAGATGGCAGCGACGATGACCACCACCATTACCACCACCTCTACCACCACCACAACCATTACCATTACCATTACCAATTACCATTACCACTACCACCACCACCA